CCCAAGACGGCCACAGACGGTCCCAACACGGCTCCCAGCGCACCATGGTGCTCTTAGCTTGTTCGGCGCTCCCTTCTGGATTTGGCCCGTTTTGTCGGTTTGAAGCCCTCCCCGCGGACTGCGGAGGCCATGCCGTGTTTCGCTCCTCTGGTGGCCCATAATCGTCTCGCCTTGAGGGGGTTCACAGCTTCGGGAGGTTTTTGAAACAGGCCCCATATGTCTCTTGGCGGGTCTCCGGCCTGCTGCCCTAACATGCTAAGGCAGGATTTCGACGCCATTTGGGCCCACTTTGGGCCATCTCCCCCAGTGGCAGCAAGCACGGGTACACCCTAGTCTCTTCTACAATGCAGGGATCCGCGCGTGCGAGAAGGTTCTCTGTCTTGAGTGCCTTTCCGGGCCCTCCGGGCCCCCTCCCGGGCGCAGATGCTCCAAAAACAGCCTCGGGATGGCTCCGAGAGGCTCCAGGGGGCGCCAAGACGGCCTCAGAGCACCCCCTGGAGCCCCAAGACAGCCTGGCTCCCAAAACAGCCCAGGAGGGCTTCCAGGAGAGCCCCAAGAGGCCAGAATCGTGCCATTCCTTTCGGGAAACGCACATTTTCACAATGTTCAGATTTTTGAAAGAGCGTGTTCTACCGCTGCTGGCGGAAAACCAGGGGAGGGTCACTACCGGTTCGACCCCCCCCCCCGCCCCTCGGGAAAACCAGGGGGGGTCACTACCGGTTCGAACCCTTGCCCCCGCCCCCCCCCAGTCAATCATGAAAAGAGGGGGGGGGGTCACTACCGGTTCGAACCCCTGCCCACCCTCTCCCCTCGAAAACCGGGGGGGGTCACTACCGGGGGGCGGACAGTGGTGGGGACGGTGGTGGTGGGGACAGTGGTGAGGGGACAGCGGGACAGTGGTGGGGACATTGGGACAGTGGTGGGGACGGTGGTGGTGAGGACAGTGGTGAGGACAATGGTGGGAACAGTGGGGACAGTGGGACAGTGGTGGAGACGGTGGTGGTGGGAACAGTGGTGTGGGGACAGTGGGAATGTGGCGGAAACAGTGGGACGGTGGAGGGTACAGTGGTGGTGGGGACAGTGGTGAAGGCGGTGGCGAGGACGGCGGTGGGACAATGGGACAGAGGTACAGTGGGGACAGTGGTGGGGACAGTGGGGACAGTGGTGGGAACAGTGGGACAGCTCAGTGGGACAGCGGAGGAGTCAGTGGCACAGTGTGGACAGTGGGGATAGTCGGGCAGTTGTTGGGGCCGTGGAGAAAGTGGGGAGAGTGGAACCGTGGTGGGAACAATGGTGGGGACAGTGCGACAGTGGTGGGGGCACTGGTGGGGACAGTAGGGACGGTGGATGAACCAGTGGGGACAGAGGTGGTGAGGACAGTGTTGCTGGGAACAACAGTGGGGGATGTGGTGCGGACGGTGGTAGGGACCGGGAGTGGTTTGCTGCGTGAGGGGGGGGGAAGGGGTTCGAACCGTAGTGACCCTGTGACCCCCCTCGCGTTTTTCTAGAAGGTAGCTAGGGGGTTACGAAACGGTAGTGACCCCCCTCCCCGTCTATCGAAATGGGGGGGGGGTGGAGAATGGGTTCGGGGATGGGGTGCCGGGAAGGGAGGGGGGGGGGGTCCTGCGGGGGGGGGATTTTCGGGGGGGGGAGGGATCCCCGGGCTCCGGAGGAAGAGGGGGGAATTTTCCACAGTAAGGCGGCGGTGGATCACGCTCTGCGATTTTTTGTCCTCGCAGCGTCTAAGACGGCTATACAGGCCCCCCACCTCGCCCCAAGACGCGCCCAGAGGCCCCCAAACGGCCCTACACGGCCCCGGGACGACATCAAAGGCGCCCGAGACGGCCCAAGACGCACCCAAAACAGCCCTAAGAGCAGCCAAATGGCCAACGGGACGGCTGCGAGAGGCTCCAGGCGCCCTGCCTGAGAGCACCCCTTGGAAGCCCCAAGACAGCCCCAGAGGCCCCCAAGGCAGGCCTGGAGCCTCAAGCCGGCCCAGGAGGGCCTCCAAGAGAGCCCCAAGAGGCCCAAATCGTCAGTCCCGACGGGAAACGTACATTTTCAATCTATATATATATATATATATATGTGTGTATACTGGGTAGTCGAAGGTCAGCCGGTCAGGTTGGGTTGAGGCGCCGGGGCCAATCCGGCATCAGTCTCGTGTGAATTCCAATCCGGCGCCAGTCCGGCGCAGCCCAGTCTGATGTTGACCTCTTCAATATGGTTCTCTTGCCCGCCATCTTTTTTTGTGTGTATGGTGTGCGGCAGTCTGGCTGTATGTTTTCATATTATTCCGTCAGGCCGAGCCACACTGCATCACGTCGCAGATTGCCAGATCGGCTGCGTCGCCAGTTTGGCCAGATTGTAGCGGGCGCCAGGTTGCACCAGATTGGGATCGTGGCCAGATTGGCCTTGCTGGACAGCCGCCAGATTGAAGAATTTCCCAGATTGCCAGATTCGATTCAAGAAATACGGATACGATTCAAGAAATACCAAAGACGGCCCCAAGAGCGCCCAAGATTGGCCCAAGATGGCCCCAACACTGTCCCAATATGGTCCGAGAGGCGCCCAAGACGGCCCCACATCGCCCCAAGACGGCCCCAGGCGCACTCAAGATTGCCCAAGAGGGTTCCGAGAGACCCCCAGGAGGACGCAAAGAGGCCCCCAAGCGGCCCCCAAGAGGCGTTGGATGCTTCTCTGTTGGGGTGCCACCACACTACCAGGTAAAATTGTCATTCGGCCCTTGCGAAGAGCAGATCAACTTCTCGCGGCTACCTTCCCCGCATAAGCTATGATGAACACAGACTGCGGCGTCAGAAACAGTTTTTGTCCACACCATGGGATGCCTACATGGGTGTGCTTACGCTGGCATCGCATCCACCACCGCGTTCCTGCCTCCAGGCCTGCATCCAGCATTCCTCGCCCACCTCCCCCTCCAGCGATCTCCTCCATCGACACCGTCCCCTCCAACCTACCCTTACCCGCGAGGCCCCAGAGACGCTCCACTTCCACGTCCACGCCATGGCGGGCAAATTCCGCGGCCAGTAGGCCGCGGGTCAGCCCTATCGACTGGTCCCACAGCGCTCCGAGATGCCCCAAGCTAGGCACCAGACGGCCCAAAAGTCTTCCGGGGACGCTCCAAGTCGGCTCCAAGACGAGCCCCCCAAAATCAGATCAATTAAACATCGTTAGAATTCCTATGGGGAAGCGAGCCTTTTTTCCAGGCCCACTGCTTTTCGGCCACTACGATGCCCACACGGCCCTATTGGCCCTCCAGATTACCCCAGCACGCCTCTGGAAGCCCCCATCGACGGCTCCAGGACTGCAGATCTGGTTCGGAGCAAGCCTGAGCATGGAGATGAGAGATTCTAAGATGAGTGAGCGAGGTGCTTTGTAGGGCCAATACATATGTGTGTTGCTGCCCTCGTTTGGCCCAAGCGCCCCTTCGCTTGCGCTCAGAAGCGCGGGTCGACATGGAAGCTCGACGAGTCGAGCGTGAGCTTGAGGAGCTCAAGGGAAGGAGCTGGAATCTTATACCACTGCGCAATTCCGTTTACCACTTGCACGGTAGCGGAGCGTGGTCGACACGAAGTTCTACGATGAATGAAGATCATCGGGGGAAAGTGCCAAGCTGGGACGGAGATCCAAAGACTTGGCGACCCTACAGGAGAAAGGCCCTCCAGTACCAGGAGGGCAGTGGACGTGAGTAGCGGTGCCTGTTCGGCCCGAGGCTGGAGGCGAAGCGCACGGGCCGGGCCGAAGTGGCGGTGGAGCGCCGCAAGGCGGGATGGCAATCACGGGCTGATGGCGTAGAGCGGCTCCTGGCGTGGCTGGAGCGACGTTGCTCACGCCAGGCCGTCCCAGACGTGGGCCAGGAGTTGGAGACCTTCCTGATCAAGACGAAACGCAGCAATATGGAGCCCACGCAGCAATGGACCGACCGCTTCGAGGTAGGCCACCAGTACCTGAGGCGTGCGCTGGCGCGCGCACTGGGGCAGTCAGCCCCAGCCCCGAGCTCATCGTCGGGGAGAAGGCCGGAGAGACCACTCAGATGGATCCAGGTCGAACAGGGATGGCGATGGGATGGGTTCGAATGGAAGTGGGAGTACACAGACGGTTTACCTGACGACGTTACGGAAACACCCCAGCATTGGAGCGCCACTGACCCAGACGCCGAGGCCGAAGAGGAGCTCGGGAATATCCCGGAGGTTTTCCCAGCGATTGTCCTCGGTTGGCTGATGCTCGTGCGGTCTGGCCTCGACTCGCGTGTGCGCGCGGCGATCATGGCCTTGACGGGGGGCTCGCTGGGCGTCAACCTGATTCGCGAGAAGGTGATCTCCCGCTGGGAGGACGACGACTTGGCAGAGAGAGATGGACATTCTAAGTGCCCGAGTGCATGCGCGGCCCAGCTTGGAGAGGATGATCAGAGATGGCTGGGCGGTGCCGAGGGTGAACCGGATGCGGGAAGTTCCGCAGCTGATCGAGAACCATCGGAGCCATTCGCGGAGGGGCCCGACCAGGGGGAGGCCAACGACGAGAGGCGCACCTCTCCGCGCAGTACGAAAAGGCGGAGGCGCTTTCGGCGATCCACGCCGCCCAGCGCACCCTCCGCCAGGCCAGCGAGGCTCTGGCGGACAGCCGCCTGAGCAGGGGTTTTGACCGTGGAGGGCGACCTGATGGCAAGGGGGCTGGCCGTGGATTCTCAGCGGGATCACGTTGGCCGGTGCCTCCCAAGTACGGCGCCAGAGATCAGGTCTTGCCGCCGAACATGGGGCAGCAGAAGCGCGCGAAGTGCGGCGGCGCCCACTGGGTGCAGGACTGCCAGGGTCGCCACGACCCTCGGCTCAAGTCGAGGGCGGCAAGCCCGCAAGAGGCCAGCGCGAAGATGACAAACTGCAGGAAGAAGCTGAGGTTCAAGGATTCGAGATGAGGCGACGTTCGCGGACCAGGCGATCCAGGAAGGCAAGGGGGTCGTTGACCCAGGCTGCGCGGACGCCATGGGCGGCGAGCGTGCGCTCGACATCCTGGCCCGCAAGAACATGGAGAAGTACGGCGACACGAGGCTGCGGGAGGTTAACCGGGACTACCAGCCGGTCTGCAGCTTCGGGGGCGGCGAGAAGGAGCGCGCCGACGGCCAGGTGAAGTTCGGCATCATTGGCGGGGGCATGGCGGGTGACTTCTCCATCAACGGCTTCGCGAAGGACGCCCCGATCATCGTGTCCAACAAGGTGCTGGAGAAGCTTGGGGCCGTCGTGGACTGCGGCGCGGGAGCAGCGGCTTTCGCGAAGCTGGCCCTGGGAGTTCCGGCCCAGCTAGAGGAGTCACCGGACGGCGGACACTACTACATGAGCCTGGTGGACGACCTTCTCGAGCAGAAGGTCTGGGGTCCGGCCAAGCTGCATAATTTCACGATTATCTGCAACCACCTCTCTGAGTGGGGCACGGGGCGTGGCAGCGCGCTGGGGGCCAGACCTCAGCCCCAACGTTTGCGCAGAGCTAGTCGGGTCATGCACGGGTCGATCGTCATATGTTTCTCTCGGCGACGTCACCCACAGCTCTCCTAAGGACGGCTGTCGAGGCGCAAAGGGATTGCCCGGGCGCGTCCGCAGCCGTTCAGGCTCGAGCCCGACGAGGCATTCCGCGTCTGACGCGAACGTTCACGTGCAGCGACCAGCAGTCCCTGATCCTCCGGATCCCACATATACCCGGCCAAGGGCCGTCGATGGCAGAGCGATGCGCTGGGGGGGCCTCCCCCGCGGGGCCCCGCCGCTCGCCTGCGCCGGGGTGGTCTGCAGGTGCGGCTCGAGCGCGCAGAATGCCAGCGCCGCGCAGTCCACGAAGAAGGCCCATCTGCCCGCGAAGGCGACGAAGCTCGGAGCTCACGCGGCACTGGGCATGACCAACCCGTCGCTCAAGCTCTCGATCCGCAAGGCGATTCTCCAGATGCACCCGCCGGAGCCGACCGACAACATGGGCTTCGGGAAGTACGGCGCTCTGACGTACCAGCAGGTCCTGAAGCGGTGCCCTTCCTACGCGGCCTGGTGCCAGGCAGAAGGGAGCACGGGGGCAGCTGGGGGCTGGCCAGGTTTGTTCGTGGCTCACCGAGAAGGAGATTGCCCGCGTGAGGGGGGAGATGACCGGGAACCCCGGGGAGGCCCCGACGGGGCCGCAGAAGGCTTGAGGGGGCGCAAGGTCATCCCGCCGAAGGACAATGGACGCGGCGAAGGAAGACGAGCTCGAGGAGCAGGAGAGGCTTGAGGGCGCAGCCCAGGAGGAGAGGAACACGAAACAGTTCATCCAGCAGCAGATGCTGACCACCCTGAGCCACCTCAGCCAGCGACTGGGGAGGCTCGAGGGGCAGCCGAGCTCCGCGAGCTCCAACGGCGAGAGCTTCGTTCCAGGTCCAGTGGGTTCCAGCCCGAGCGGTCTGGCTGGGGCTTGAACCACGCGAAGGAGTTGGACCCCAGGAAGCAGCGATGGCTGGCGCGGTGCACCAGGGAGAATGGCCACACGGAGGACCTCAACGCGCTGCTAGCCCATGGGGGGGTCAAGCTGTCATGGAAGCAGCGCGCAGCCCGGCCTCCATCCTGAGCAGGAAGATGGCGGAGAAGTTCGGAGAGGATGCAGCGCGACGAGTTAGTGCGTGGAATGGCCCCGAACTCGGGGCACCTGCCGGGAGCCAGAAGGCCAGGGAGGATCGCGATGATGCTGAGCCGGACCACTTGTGGGTCAGCATGCGGCGTGGGCCACTGTCGAGTCTCACCCTCGGCTTCATTGGCGCCAGCCCTCTGAGGGCCAAGGCCGCCGGGAAGCGCAGGCCCCAGGCGATCAAGGAATACAAGGCCGCGGTGCAGCAGGTGTACGACCAGGTGGCGCAGGAGAAGCATGCGCACTGGGAGTGGCCCATCAAGTGCGAGGGCTGGGGCCGCAGGATGGTCTGGCAGATGATCGAGGACTTCTCGGCGACGGTGGTCAAGGCCGCCGGGTGCCAGCTCGGAGTGAAGAACGAGTTGGGTCAGCCCCTGCTCACGGAGTGGCTGATCGCCACGGCGTCCTCGAAGATGGCGGCCAGGATGGCCTTGGAGTGCCCCGGGGGCCACAAGCGCGGCGAGCTCGCCGGAGGCAGCCTCGCGGCAGCTAGGAGTTACTACGCGGATGAGTTCGCGAAGAGGGCAGTCCAGGCGATGATCGAGGAGGTCCCCCCAGACTACCGCGAGTTCCTGGGGTGCCTGACGGGGCCCGAGGCGCCGGAGGGACAGGCGCTAGCCTCTGGGAGCGAAGAGACGTCAACAGGGGCAGACCCTAGTTCGAAGGAGTTCCAGCAGATCATGCGTTGGCTGGCCTCCGTACACCGAGGGTCAGGCCACGGCTCCAAGACCGCCATGCTGAGCGCACTCAGGCGAAAGGGGGCGAGCCAACTGGCGCTGCAGGTGGCCCAGGGTTTTCGCTGTGACGCGCGCGAAGAGGCGAAGCAGCCCCGCCCCGCGCACCCGCCGGTCAGCCTGGAGGTTATCCCCCTGATGTGGAAGCACATCCAGGCCGACCAGTTCGAGTGGGGGCACCCCCGCAAGAAGATCAAATCGAAGTTCTTGCTCGCCATCGACGAGAACTGCAGGGCGCGGGTCAGCAAGCTGCTCTACCACATGGTGGGCGAGGACCGGCGCCGCGACCCAGTCTGGGCCGACCTCGAGGTTTTGTGCGAGGAGCGCTGGCTGCCATATTTTGGGAAACCGCAGCAGGTGAAGGTGGGCCCTGAGGGCTCGTTGATGTCCAAGCAGGCTGCTGACTGCTTCGGCTCCGACTCCATCGGATACGAGCCGAGTTTTTGGGCAAGCCCGCTGGCGCTTCTTCCTTTCAGAAGAGGCGATCCAGGCCACAAGAGGGACCATGGGCGGGCTAGACGCGGAAACAGGGGCCACGGGACGTTCGAGAATATGTTCGAGGCCACTTCCCGCTTCAGCACGCCCCGGGAATGGCGCTTGACTTGGGCGGCCATTTCTTCGAGAACGACTTCGACGAGATGCCCTGCGCCGAGGCCCGGCGCGTCGACAAGGAGTGCGGCGAGAACTGCGCCAGGATGTACGCGGCGGAGCAGGAGTACCTGAGGCAGGTCTACATGCGGCGCATCAGCCGAGCCGAGAACGCGAAGAGCCAGACGCTCATGTCCGCGGCGCCAGGCCTGTGGGCGCGCTACTTCCGCAAGGAGAAGGGCGAGACCAAGGGCCGATTCAAGGGGCTCGCGAGGGTGCCGGCCACAGAGACAGCACGCCCCCATGGACGGCGACCAGGGACAGAGCGAGGGACTGCGCCCAGGGCGGCCTGGTTCAGTGGTCTGGCCGGTCTGGGCAGGGCGGATCGTCAAGGTGGACTTGTGTCAGATCCGAGCCGCCTCCGCCCGAGAGATAGAGTGCGCCGAGCTCATGGGAGGCAAGGGTGCCCCTGGACTATCAACGCCTTCATGAACCAGGCGATGCGGCTGGAGCACCTGGACTTCAAAGGGCACGATCCCACAGAGCACGACGTAGAGTGCTCGACCTGGGAAGGAGTCGCACGACAGAGCTAGCCGAAGACAAGGGCCCCCCGGTGGCCCCAAGGGATCGGCCTGCCCCCCTGCGCGGAAGCATATCCACAAGAAGGGGCAGCATCCTGGAGGCTGCGCAGACCGGGCCAGGACATCAAGGGGACCCACTGCCGAGAAGAACCAGGAGGAGCAGGCGGCACTCATGGCCAAGACGACCCCTGATGCCCGTGCTTTCTGGGCGCGACAAGGGGCGCCCCCGGAAGTCTCGATGGGCCCCCCCCTCGCCGGCAAGGCCTCGAGGCAGGCCACCAGGCGCGCGAACACCTACGTGGCGAGCCAGTGGAGGAAGGGGAAGCGCGAGATCTCCGAGCGGACCCTCGACCCAGACGAGCTGGACAGATTCGACGAGGCAAAGGCCACCGAGGTGAACAACTACATCATATCCTCGGTCCTCGAGACCCTGCCTCCTGGAGTCACGCCGCCACCTGGCGAGGTCGCGCGTATGAGGTGGATCCTGGAGTGGAAGATCGACGAGAGCACTGGCGACAAGATGGCAACAGCGAGGATCGTGGTTTTTGGCGACGTGGGCCCCGAGTGCGGGCATTGCCCGACCACGGCTCCAACGATGACGCGTACTTCCAGACACCTGCTGCTGCAGATGATGTCGTGGCCTGGCTTCAAGGGGTACAAGGCGGACGTGACTGGAGCTTTCACCCAGAACCGTGAGATTCAGCAGAACCTGTTCGTGATGCCCGTGAAGGAATTGGCCACGGCGCTGGGATTGCCCGAGGGTGTCGCCAGGAGGCTCCGGAAGGCCGTGTACGGGCTCGTCGAGGCAGCCATGGAGTGGTTCATGACGGTGAGCGAGGCACTTGCGGATTTCGGCTGGACTCAGATGAAGATGGGCCCGCGCGCCTGGGTGCTACGCGGCGACGCGCGCGGCCGGGGCAACAGCTTCACCCAGGAGGCGCTGCGGGAGTTCATTGGCCCAGAGCTGCTCAAAGAGCTGGTCGCCGCGAAAGGCGACCTTGACATCGTGGCGGTCGCCGGGCCGCACGTGGACGATTTCGTGCTGGGCGGTAGGGCATTTGATCCGCGATGGCCCAGGGCTCGACAGCAGATTCATGGGCGTTTGCCCATAGAGAAGGCCCTCCTAACTCCCGAGCGCAAGAGGAACACGGAAGCAGGGGCCACTGACAGGGGGAAGGGCCAGCTCAGTGCGATCCTGGGCGCCGTCGGCTGGCGCTCGGAGCGGTCTGGCCCAATGAATTCCGCTGACACATGCCTGCTGCTGAGCACCATTCCCTCGTCCACGGTGCAGACCGTCAACGAGACGAACAGGCTGGTCGACCGAGTGCAGGGGCATGCTGACCTGCCGTTCGCGATCCCAGGTGCTGGTGCGAGTCGAACCGGCCCGACGGGAATCCACCAAGGGACTGGTCGCGGGCATGGCCCTTCTGACGACCCCCAAGGGCGACGAGACCGACGCGAGCATGGCGTCCTGGATGTCGGGGAAGATCGACCGAGGATATCGCAGCTCCGTCGCCTGTGACACTCGATCCGCTGTGGATGCGGAGGACGAGCTGTTCGGTATCAAGTTGCAGTGGCTCGAGATGCTAGGCAACAACATCGACTGGCGCAACTTGGAGGACACACTTGCCAAGCTGCCAGGGGCCGTCGTGGTGGATGCCAAGGGCCTGTGCGACAAGCTCCAGACCACAGTCTACACCTTCCGCGGCACGGAGAAGCGGACTGACGTAGAGGCGATGACACTGAAGGAGGGGACCCAGGCCGCCCACAACAGGATGCTCTGGGTCCACGGCAATGCCCAGCTAGCAAACTCCCTGACCAAGGGGCACGAGCCACGACAGCTAAGGATGGACTTCAGCAGCGGCCATCGCTGGAAGCTGGTAAGTACCAGCGTGCACGTATACGGAAGGCAGCAGGGATCCTTCCATTCGAGAACCTTCCACAGGAGGTCGTGAGGAGCTCAGAGTCATGGAGGGAGCCAGCGTCTGGAGCAGCTAATCAGGAGTTCCTGGAGTACGAGGCCATCTCGAGCGATGAGTTAGATGAATATAACATGCGCAGCTTGGAGGACCCTTATCCGTGCAGATCTTGTTCGGAGCAAGCCTGACCATGGAGATGAGAGATGATAAGATGAGTGAGTGAGGTGCTTTGTAGGGCCAATCCATGAGTGTGCTGCTGCCCTTTTTGGCCCTAGTGCCCCCTCGCTTGCGCTCAGAGGCGCGGATCAACATGGAAGCTCGACGAGTCGAGCTTGAGCTCGAGGAGCTCAAGGAAAAGAGCTCGAATAATATACCACTGCGCAATTCCGTATACCACTTGCAAAGACGGCCCCACGATGGCTCTTGAGGCGCCGATGGCAGCCCAAGAGGCCGCCACGACAGTGCCGCGACGGTCCCAAAACGAGTCAAGACGGCTCCGAGACGGCACGGCCACCCACTGCCCCGAGACGGCCCCAGAGGCGCCCAAGAGGGCCCCAGACGGCCCCCCAAAAACCTAAGAGGCACCCCGAACAGCCCCAGAGGGCCTCGGGAGGCCCCAGTGCGGCACCCGGGGAAGCGAAAAGAAGCGCCGAACGGCCCCGAATAGGTCCACAGCGCCTTTCCGAGCCACCATGGGTCCACCAGGAGGCCCTGAGTGCCCCTGACGGGCCCACAACGGCTTTACACATCCCCACAGGTTCTCTTCCAGCTGAATCCGGTCCGTTTTCGGACTCTCTGGAGCGCGGCTTCGACATTGGCCCCCAATGCAGGCCAGGACACCGCCCCGACGGCCCCAAGACGGCCCCGACCCGCTGAAGAGACCGCCCCGACGGTCCCAGAGGCCCCCAAGGCAGGCCAGGAGGCTCCCAAAACGGCCCTGGAGGACTTCCCAGGAGAGCCCCAAGAGGCACAAATTTATTTTTGGAAGACATACGTGTTGGGAATTATTACGCTTCTCGCCCCCGACGCGCCCACGACGGCCAGACCAGCTCCAAACATCGCCCCACGGTGCCCCCGTGAGGGCCCCAAGACGATCCACGACGGTGTCAGGACGGTCCAAAAGGGCCCCAAACCGACCCAAGAGGCACCCAAGACAGCCCCAAGAGCCGCCCAAGACGGCCCAGAACGGCCCCAAGACGGCCCAAGAGGCGCCAGAGAAGGCCAAAGACGGCCCAAGACGGCCACAAGACGACCCAGAAGGCACACAAGACGACCCAAGAGGGCCCCAAGAGGCTCCCAGGAAACAGAAGAGAACCCCCAAGAGTAAGAGTTAGTTCCCCAAGCGGCCCCCAAGAGGCCCTCAGTGGCTTCTAAGTTGTCTCCAAGAGGGGGGGGGGGGGCGGACGACAGGCGAGAGCCCTATCGCAGGCCCCACACAGCCGGCCCCCATGACGCCCTAGGTGGCTTCGAATTTGCCTCCACGAGAGGGGGGCGGACGAGAGGCGAGACGCGATCGCAGGCCCAGAAGACCCGATCTGGACGCTCCGAGGGCCTTGCTTGCTCGCCTTCTGGGGGGCTTCGTTTTGGTGTCCACGATCGGCGATCGGAGATCGAGCAGATGGAGGACCCAGGAACAGGAGGAGGAGGAGGAGGAGGAGGAGGAGGAGGAGGAAGATAATGAGGAGAAGGAGGAGGAGGAGGAGGAGGAGGAGGAGGACCTGGACAACTTCTGAACAGACCGAGCTCTTGGGTAGAAATGTTCAGCAATTGTCCAGGCCCCCCCCGCTCCATCTTCACGGTGCATGACGCTGCTGCTCTGGATCTGCGCTGTCACACGGACTTGGCGCCGTCGGTGTTGTGATCGTGCTTTCCGGCTCCGTCGCATCGTCGTCGTCGTCGTCGTCGTCGTCGTCGTCGTCGTCGTCGTTGTCGTCGTCGTCGTCGTCGTCGTCGTCGTCGTCGTCTGGACTTCGAGAGGGCGTCTTGTCTGCAGGCCGGTGGGGAAGAGGAGAAGGAGGGGGAGAAGGAATAGTAGGAGCAGGATGAGCAGGTATGCTGGGGAGGACGAGGGGGGACGAGGAGGGGAGGAGGACTAAGGACGCAAGCGAATATCGCGCGGACGATGACAGAGCGGAAATGAAGACGACAACGACCTGGCTAGGACGGCGACGATGAGGGCAGCAGCGGAGGCGGCAGCGCTGGGTGGAGAGCAAGACACCAGGCTCAGAGCATCGACAAAAGCCCAAGAGGGCCCCCAGCGGCCCCTCGCAGCCGAGTGGCTGACCGCCATCTCGATATCCTTTCGGCAGCATCACCGCCGCCGCCCCGATAATATTTTCGGCCAGATGACGTGGACAGAGTCCACGGGTCAGCCCTAGTCAGCTACAGCGCTGGGATCAGCGCGTGCGAGAAGGGCGAGCAGTGGCAGCGGGCGCTGGCGTTGCTGAGAGAGAAGCGGGAGGTGAAGCTGGAGCCCGACGTTTTCAGCTACAGCGCTGGCGTCAGCGCGTGCGAGAAGGGCAAGCAGTGGCAGCGGGCGCTGGCGCTGTTAAGCGAGATGCAGGAGGTAAAGCTGGAGCCCACCGTCATCAGTTACAGCGCTGGGATCAGCGCGTGCGAGAAGGGCGAGGAGTGGCAGCGGGCGCTGACTCTGTTGAGCGAGATGCGGGAGGTGAAGCTGGAGCCCAATGCCATCAGCTACAGCGCTGGGGTCAACGCGTGCGAGAAGGGTGGGCAGTGGCAACAGGCATTGAGCATGCTCAGAATCATGCGTTTGAGAAAGTTGAACGTTGACTTCAATGTCTACGGGATTACAGCCAGCATGTGCGAGCAAGGCGGGCAATGGAGCCAAGCGCTGTCCTTATTCAGGGAAGTGCATGTCCAAGTTACCGGAGGCTGATTCAATACATGCCATGTTCGATCCATGTGTTTGATCAGTTACATCGCTGAGACCAACGCGTGCGAGAAGAGCGAGCAATGGTCGATGACTTTGGCGCTGCTGAGCGAGGTGCGGGAGGCAAAGCTGGAGCCTAAAGCCCAACGTCTTCAACTTCAGCGCTGGGGCCAGCGCGTGCGAGAATGGCGAGCTGTGGCAGCCGTCTTTGGCGCTGCTCAGCGAGATGCGGGAGGCGAAGCTGGAACCCAGCGTCATTGGTATTACAATCCTACCGTTGCGCGTGCGAGGCGCGCCAGCAGAGCGCGCTAGCGGCCCCCGACCGCCCAGATCGCTCCGTCGTTTGCTGACGGCTCTCGAGAGCTTTCAGGTGGCTCTAACACGGCCTCACGCAGCCCGAATATTTTTCCGATGCGCTCCGGAGGGCGCGAGGACGTTCCAAATGAGCACGAACGGAGCTCCCTGGTTAACAGCCGAGGACGGCCCGACGACGGGCCAGGTGCTTCCGAAAACGGCCCAGCTGGACCTCAACGACCGTCCCCCGAGCCCCAAATCAGTTGTTTTTAGTTTTAGAAGGTGTTTCGTGTTCTCGCCATTTCGGGCCACGAACGGCCCCAGACGTCTCTGGGGCCATCCCAGATCGCTCCAAGACGGTTCAGGAGGCCCCGCCAAGTGCTCCAAGACGGCTCATCAGGGTCCGAAGACTGCCCAAGAGAAGCCCAAGACAGCCTCACAGAGTTCCTGGTGGCCCCCAGGGCAGCCCCAAGAGTGCCCTAAGAGGTGCGTGCCCAACAGCCCGAGACCCCCAATATGGCCCCAGGACGGCCCAAGAGTCCCCTGGGACGGCCTAAAAGGGCTTAGGAGAACCCGATGACAGTTCCACGCAGGGGAAAGACAAAATAATCAGGAACCATGTTTCTTTTCCAAGGTTTTCTGCGTTCTCCCCATGACGGGCCCAGAACGGCCCTACACGGCTCCAGGTCTTTTCATGATCGCCTTTAGATAGCCAAAGAGGCCCTCACGAGCCCACCGAGATGGCCAAAAAGGGCCCCAAGACGGCTGAAGAGGGCCCCAAGACGGCCCAAGAGGCCCGACCCTAAGAGGGCCCCACCAGGGGACACTCGAATTGACACTTCGCGCCCTCCGCTCAAGCATAATCCCCGAAACCGCCAGCTGCCCCCCAAGAGGCCCCCCAGACGCCCCAGAAGGCACCCCCAAAGACCCACATCAGATCCCGAGGGGCCGCACGACACCCCCACAACCGCCTCCAAGAGGCTTCCGAGGGAAGGGCGCCGGCCACCCAGGAAAATGAGGCGCCCATGCGTCTTTTATTCTCTTGCACAGCTGTGCTCTAGAGCTCGGACATCTTTATTTTCGTTCGTTCGTGTTCGCCCCCCCCCCCCCCCCCCCGCCCGCCCCCCCCAAGTGTTTCCGCAGGGCAGCTAGCCCCCCCCCCAACCCCAAGTGTTTCCGCAGGGCAGCTAGGCAGCTCCCCTGGACCGCGGAACCCTTTATTCTCGTTCGTTCGTGGTCGTCCCCCTCCCCCCTCCCCCCCCAGGGCTCCCCAGGGCAGCGCTCCCCAGGGCTCCCCATGGCAGCTCTCCAGGGTTTCCCAGGGCAGCTCCCCTGGACCGCGGAACCTTTTATTTTCGTTCGTTCGTGGTCGTCCCCCCTCCCCCCAGGGCTCCACAGGCCCCCCCCCCCCCCCTGGGCAGCGCAGGGCAGCTCCCCCGGGTTTCCTAGGGCAGCTCCCCAGGGCTGCCCCCCAGGGCTTCCCAGGCCCCCCTGCCCCTGGAGCAGCTTCCCCCCAAAGAGCTCCCCAGGGCAGCTCTCCAGGGTTTCCCAGGGCAGCTCTCCTGGACCGCGGAACCCTTTATTTTCGTTCGTTCGTGGTCGTCCCCCTCCTTCCTCCCCCCCCAGGGCTCCCCAGGGCAGCGCCCCCCAGGGCTTTCCGCTCCTAGAGCAGCAGCCCCCCCCCCTCCCAGGGCTCCCCAGGGCAGCTCTCCAGGGTTTCCCAGGGCAGCTCCCCTGGACCGCGGAACTCTTTATTCTCTTGCACAGCTGTGCTCTCGAGCTCGGACCTCTTTCTTTTCGTTCGTCGTCGTCGTTCGTTCGTTCGTCGTTCGTCCTCCCCCCCACGGGCACAAAAGTAAGTTCCTGGAGGAAGGAGGCGAAAGCCTCCTGTCTCTAGCAGCTCCTTGGTGCAAGAGCCAGGGCACGTGTGCCACTTGTTTTCTCCCCTCTTTTGCAAAAGCCCTGGTCTGAATGGTCGTCTCGTTCAGGAGTTCTTTCTGAGAGTGCTCCTGATAGGCTGGCCGTTGGAGGCATTCGATCTTCTCCCCAGCCCACGCAGCCTGCGCGCATCTTCCGACCACATCGGGCGGCCACAGCCACCATGGAACATCGTTAGAAAAGAAGGCCCACTGTTGCTTCTTAATCTCCAGCCTTGGCTCTAATTCAGCCTCCGGGTGGCTCAAGATCATGCTGGGGCGACCCAAAGCGCCCCAATTACCCGAAGGCAGCAGCACGAAACAGGACTCAGTCAACAATAGCGTCAGCGCACAGCAACAGCAAACATCAGCACCAGCAGCAGGTAGCGGTCAGCAGCACGCACCAAGCAGACGTGGCCATCAGCAGCACCCTTCAGCCACAAGCAATAACGACGCGTTGCCACGGCAAGCAGCACCTACAATATGCAACAGTGGCAGCAAGCAGCACCACGCAGAGGCATGCGCCGAATGCGAGGGTCGAGCCCCACGTTGTAATGACACCCCCAGGGGCCCCCGCTCCCTCGCCGCCTCTCTCCCCGCGGCTCCTCCCTCCCACCTCTCCGCCCATTCCTCATCTCTCCCTCATCCTCGCCCATCGCTGCTCGCTTCTCGGCCCCACTTCTCTCCTCGCTCCCTGCTCTTCTCCTCTCCACTCCTCCCCGCTCGCCCCGGCCTCTCCCCCTCGTGGCCCCCGACTCCTCGCTCGTGGCTGCTCGCTCCTGCCTCGCTCGTCTCTTCGGCCCTCATTCGCGCCCCCTCTCGCCCTTCCGCCCCCCGCCCACCTCTCCTCCGCCCTCGCCTCTCCCTGCTCGCCCCATCCCACCTCCCTCCTCCCCTCTCGCCAGTCGCTCCTCGCTCCTGACCTCTCTCCCCTCGTCGCTCCTCCACCCGCCCTCCCGCCCCTTCTCCTCTCTGGGCGCCGTGCCCATGATCGGTGCTCCTCCCCTCGCAGGCGGGTGCGCGGGCAGCAGCGGGGACCGCAGCAGCAGACGCGACCAGGCAGCACAAGGAGGCGACAGCAGGCAGCATCGGCAGCAGCATGCAGGACATCAGCAAGCAGGACCCTTCTTGTCGGCGGCATGCAGCAGCCGGCAGCAGCAGCAGCAAACAGCAAACAGCAGGAACGGCAGGCGCGAGCAGTCGGAAGTAGCTGCAGCAACAGAACGGTGCAGACCGCATCACCCACAAACATGCCGCAGGCGGTCGGCGGCTGCAGCGACACGTGCGATTGGCACGTCGACATGTGTTTGAATGTATAAAGAGAGATACGCACACACACAAGCACACACACATTCGCACACACACACACACACACACGCACACACAGACAGGTACATCTACCTACTTATACGACCACCCTGCGGGTGAGAAGGAGGTTGGGGGGGCAGCAATGGGCAACAGTGGTGACTGTTGGTCTGACGATGCCTGTGGTGCGCATATCGATGTGCATGTCGATTTGCTTTTCGATCTGCATCTCGATTTGCATGTCGACATATCGATGTGCATGTCGATTTGCTTGTCGATCTGCATCTCGATTTGCATGTCGACTTGCATTGGAAAGCTCGCCGCAGGCGCCGATTTTTTAAGTAAGCAACCCACGGCGCCTTACGATTTGCATTTGGATGTGCATGTCGATTTGCATTTCGATGTGTGTTTTCGGTTTGCATGTCGGTTTGCATGTAGACTTGCATTGGATAGCTCGCCGCAGCCACGGCGGGACACCAGCGGGACACCGGCTGGACACCGCGCGGCACAGGCCGCCGGAGGAGAGACATTTGGTCCGGCCGCGGCCCAGCCACAGGAGGATTTCGGGACACCCGCGGGACACCGGCGGGACACCGCGGGGCACCAGCCGCCAGAGGAGTTACATTTTGTCCGGCCGCGGTCCAGCCACAGGAGGCTTCCCTCGCCCTCGCCCACGCAGCTTCGCCCAGCCCGCACGCACTCACGGCACGCACGACACGAACCCGAAACCGAAATCGACTTCCCGGTAGGAGGGTCTCCGTTTCACGTCGGACTCATCCCCCAACCTCCGATACCCTTCGGGTGATCAGGAGATTGTGGGGTGGGGGGGAGAGGGGGGAAACCCATTATCGATCTCACTCAACGGGACACCACGGGACACCACGGGACACTTGTCGATCTCATTATCGATCTCACTGTCGATCTCACTCAACGGGACACCACGGGACACCACTGGCCACCACGGGACACCACGGGACTCCGCGGGACACTTGTGCATCTCACTATCGGTCTCACTATAGATCTCACCATCGATCTCACTCAACGGGACACCTTAGGACACCACGGTACACCTCGGGACACCACATCGATCTCACTATCGAACTAATTATCGATCTCACTCACCGGGACACCACGGGACACCACAGGACACCTGTCGATCTCATTATCGATCTCCTTATCGATCTCATTTGTTGGGACACCACGAGACACCGCGGGACACCTCTGGGCACCATATCGATCTCAGTATCAATCTCACTATCGATCTCACTCACCAGGACACCACGGGACACCATGGGCCACCTGTCGATCTCACTATCGATCTCACTTTTTTGGACACCGCGGGGCACCTCGGGGCACCACATCTATCTCAGTATCGATCTCACTATCGATGTCACTATCGATCTCATTATCGATCTCACTCAACGGGACGCCTTGGGACACCGAGGGACACCACGGGACACCGCGGGACACCGCGAGCCACCGCCGGACGGACGGACGGACGGGCGGGCGGGGGAGAATCATTTGTGTTGTTGTCGCCCTAGCAACGGCGGACACCACGGGACACCGCGGGACACCGAGGGCCACCGCCGGACGGACGGACGGATGGGGGAGAATCATTTGTCTTGACTTCGCCCTAGCAACGGCGGACACCACGGGACACCGCGGGACACCGCTAGGGCCACCGCCGGACGGACGGACGGACGGGGGAGAATCATTTGTTTTGACTTCGCCCTAGCAACGGCGGGTTCCTTACTCTCGCGCGCCCACGCAGCTTCGCCTTGCCCGCACGCACGACACGAGCGGAACGAAACTATTTCCCGGTTGGGGGTCTCTGATCCATTGCGATCTCATCCCCCAACCTCCGATACCGATAGGACCACCCTTTGGGTAATAAAGATGTGGGGGGGAAGGTTGGGCGGTCGATTTGCAATGGCTTTGAGTTCCTTGCTGGTTTCTTCAATTGTCCTATCGATCATTCGACCTATTTGTCGAATTATCTATTCAGAATACCAGTTGGGACAACCATCGGGACAACCATCGGGACAACATCGGGACAACCATCGGGACAACCATCAGGTCAACCATCGGGACAACCATCGGGACAACCATCTGGACAACTATCGTGACAACCATCGGGACAACCATCGGGACAACCATCGGGACAACCATCGGGACAACCATCGGGACAACCATCGGGACAACCATCGGGACAACCATCGGGTCAACCATCGGGACAACCATTGGGACAGCCATGGGGACAACCATGGGAACAACCACCAGGACAACCATGGGGAGAGCCATGAAGACCAACATCAGGACAACCATCGGGACAACCAGCAGAACAACCATCGAGATAACTATCGGGACAACCATCGGTACAACCATGGGGACAACCATGGGAACAACCATGAGAACAAATATCGGGACAACCATCGGGACAACCATCGGGACAACCATCGGGACAACCATCGGGGCAACCATCGGGACAACCATCGGGACAACCATCGGGACAACCATCGGGACAACCATCGGGACAATCGGGACAACCAGTGCATCAGGCCATCATGGGAGAATGGGGACACCCATAAGGCCAGAAGCCACGCCAGCATGACAACACGCAGGCAGGCAAACATGCCATCGATCCTCGCCCTCGCATGCGAGTCAGCTTCAAGCGACGTTTAACCACGTCTCAGCCCCAGTCAGCTACAACGCTGGGACCAGTGCGTGGATAAAGGGCGGGCAGTGGCAGCGGACATTGGCGTTGCTCAGGGAGATATGTGAGGCGAAGTTGGAGCCCGACGTCATGAGCTACAGCGCTGGGATCAACGCGTGCGAGGCAGGTGTGTAGTGGAACGAGTCGCTTGACCTGCTCGAATCGATGTTGTGGGCCTGCAAGGACCCGACTGCTGCGAATAGCCTGGACGACGGTTGGTACTTGCACGACCTCGAGGCAGGTGGCCCTAAGGACGTGTTCAAGCACATGGTTCCCGTAGCGTTGTTACAGCAGATGGTGGCATGCGTGGATCCCTTCAACTTCATTGACATGCCTGCTGCTTCTGGCTTCTACAACCTCAGTTCTGGGGAGTCGCCGCGATGCCGCATGCTTGACAACGGCGTGTTCCGACTTTCACGTGCAGCTGGCTGTGGTCCGGTTGCAGACTATTTGGCCGTGGTGTGGAGGTGCATTCGGGCCTTGGGTTCGTCCCCGGGCGCTCTCTGAGCCTCTATCACGGCTCGCCGGCGCTGGCGTGGCAGTGGCTGAAGCCACAGCACACCGCCATACTCGTCGAGTCTGTCGCCGCCATGGTCCTTGACCCGGGCGCAGCAGGAGGCAGCTGGTGCCCATAGACCCGCCAGACGATTCCATGCAGTCGCACATCACGTGGAACGTCTTCGCCCTCAGGCGCCTGCTGCAGAAGTGGCGGCGAATCTCCCCGCTGTTCATCGACGTGCGGGAGGTGCCATTGAAGTCTGACGTCGTCAGCGCTACAGAGGTGCGATCGCTGCGATCATTGCGTCATTGCTATAGCCAATGGCAACGATAAAGTATACCTCATGCATCTTCCAGCGCCTTTCACTGCGACTTTGTGTATTCGCCTCCTCCTTTTCTTCCTTGTCCTCCTACTGCTGCTGCTGCTCATCAGCCTTCACCCCCTCGTCCACTACCACCTGGTGCCATGGTCGTGGAAGCGGCTCCAGAAGGGGAAGCAGTGTGGAGCGTCGTGTCGGTCGGATTACCCTGGAGTTGCCTCTGTTCCTTGGACCTGCAGGTGGTGCGATGCATTTTCTGGCATATACCGCATCAGCCGGCTCCTTGCCGCGATCCGCCCAGAGAGTCTCTGTTGCCGCAGCCGTCGCCGTCACGACCGTCTGCTGGACGGGGCCATCTCCTCAAAAGCAGAGTGGATACGGGACGACGACGACGACGACGACGACGACGACGACGACGACGACGACGGCCACCACGACGACGACGGCGATGACGACGACGACGACGTCAACGTCGACGACGACGTCGACGACGACGACGACGACGACGGCGGCTGCGACGACGACGCCGTCGGCGGCGGCGGCGGTGGTGGTGGCGGCGGCGGCGATTATGACGACGGCCTGTGGGCGCGCGGCCGGGCGTGACGGCGGGCGCGTGGGCGCGCGCGTGCGGGAGGGCGGTTGGGCGGGCGGGGAAAAAACACACAGACACAGTTAATCGTCGAATCCCCAGAAAGTGTGGGAAAATATTGGGAAATTGGGCGGGAAGACAGAAACCCAGAAAATATGAGAACATATGGGGAATCCTTTTATTTGTGTGCATTTATTTGTGTGTCCCAGGGCCCCTTTAGGTTGGGCGGGCGGGTGTCAGGGCGACCCGGCGTCAATCCAAGCATCAAGCAGTGGCAAAGCGCCCTGGCTCGCCCATAGCCCTACCAAACAGTGTTCTAAGAACCTTTTTGTGGTGTCCACGAAATGTTCTTAGAGCATTTTTGGTTGACACTGTCTTGTTTTAGCACATCGGGCTTATGTTCTAAGAACGGTGTTTTGTTCTTAGAACATTTTTGGGTTCTAAGAACAGTTCGTGGTAGAACTATAGGAATGCCGGGACGGTCGGTCCCTGCTCAAAACCAGCCAACCGACGAACCGTAGCCGGTTTAGAACAATCCATTTTGACCCAAGGTAGGTTTTGTTCAGTCCGCGGTGCTTCGTCTTTGCGGATGCCTCGTCTTTCCGGATGCGGTGCTCCTTCCGCGGTGCCTGGTCTTGTCGAGAAGATGCTATTTCCCTCGAAGCAACGATCAAGAGCTGCGGTCAGACAAAACAATGGAGCGAAGCACTGTGGTTGCTCCGCGAAGGAATTCGGTTCGGTGTGCAACTCGTCCCAAGCCACTACGTTGCGACTGTCAGCGCATGCAGAAGAAGCGGGCAATGGCATCACGCGCTGTCAGTGCTGAGTGAGATGTGGAAGTTCAAGGTGGAGCCCGACGTCATCGATATTACACTACCGAATCAGCGCGTGCGAGTTCAGACCGAGTAGCTCGGGGCGGCACCCTGCGCCCAAGGTGTGGGCCTCGACGGTCGCTGGCGTTTCCGGAACGGCCCTCGACCGCTTGACGAAGAGTCCCGCCAAGGCCAAAGTTGCCCCGAGACCTCCCAGAAGGCCCCAGGACCGGAAAGAGACCTCCAAGACGGCCGCAGAGCATCCCTATGACGGCCCGATTGGCCAAACATTGTGCGCTTACGTAGTTTAATAACAAAGTTGCCCAGGTTCTCTCCACTTCCGGCCCAGAGGCGCTCCAGACGGCCCGGAGCAGCTCCAGAAGGCTCCTGGAAGTTCCGAAATGATTTCAGTCTCGCCCAAGACGCCTCTACCATAGCGTCTTGGACGGCTCAAAACTCCAACGGCCCACAGACGCTCCAGACGGGCCCACGGAGCCCCACGGGTCCCCCGAGCCAGCCCCTGGACGGGCCCAAGCGGGCTCCCGCACGGCCTCGGCCCCCCTTACAGCCGACGCTCGGAGCCCCATAACAGCCCCCCAGGGCCCCATGAGGGCCCCAGGCCGAGGTCCAGCAGAGACTCCACGAGCGCTCCAGGACAGCCCCGCAGAGCCCCATACGAAGCCAGCACGGATGCGCCCGCGGCCCTCGATGGGGCCTCGCCGAGGCTACACCGGCGGCGTCAGTGTCGCCCCTCGGGGCCCAGCGGAGGCTCCACGAGCAGATCAGAACAGCCCCGCAGAGCGTCCGGACAAAACCAACGAGGATGCCAAGTTTCTGGCCGCGCCCGCGGCCCTCGATCGGGCCTCGCCGAGGCTGCACCGGCGGCGTCAGCGGCGCCCGATGGAGCCCCGCGCGGGGGCCCTTCGAGCGTTCCATGACACTTGACACCCCCGCAGAGCCTCCGGACAACCACGAACATGGATCCCCACGGCGACGCCGACGACGGCAACGTCGACGACGACGCGACGACGACGACGACGCTCGCATGCTCAACCTGACGTTCTCTCACGCGCTCGCTGGAGAACTCGGCGTTCCGCCGTTCTTGTCCGGTTGGGTTCACTCGCGACGATTATTTTCATGTTACAAGTCGGAACGCAGTTAGACGAGCAAATATTTTCAAAGACAATTTGCGCGTCTTAGTTGTTACTGCTGGTTCGCATTTCTTACGTGGTGGGCCCAGAAACCAGCTACTTTAGAGTATTTGTGCTAGATGATAGCAGTTTCTTTTCCACGATGGTGCTGGCACCACCAGACCCGGAAATCCCAAAACAAACCCCAGACCCCACATCAGGCTTTATAGATAATTCCGACCTGCCCCAGACCCACTCAAGAACCTTCGCATCGTGGACCCCCTCAAGCCCTGGATCAGGAAACCCTTACACCACCACCCCTGTCGTAGCATCCGTCGGGTGCCCCCTGGAGGGCCGTACGGAGCCGCTGTTGGCCCTTGCTTCTTCCGAGGCTGGCGCCCAAAGGCCGCAAGAGGCTGTCAAGACGCTCCGGGGAAAGCGCAGTCGGCGCCCCTGCGAGCCCCGTTGAGCCCCCAGACGGCTCCAAGACGGCTCCGAGACGCTCAAGAGGCCGCCCCGACGGCCCAAAGGTGGCTCTGAGCCGCTCAAGAGGCCGCCTTGACGGCCCCGGAAGCCCCCAGGGCAGGCCAGGAGGCTACCAAGACGGCCGTGGAGGACCTCCCAGGAGAGCCCCAAGAGGTCAAAGTCGTTCCATTCCCGTGTGAAAGCGGATATTTTGCTCATTCTCATGTTTTTCGTTTCCGGCGCGTCTACGACGGCCATACAGGCCCCTAAGATCGCCCTAAGATGCCCCCATGAGGGCCCCAAGGCGGCCCAAGACGACCGCAGGACGGCTCAAGAGGCGCCCAAGACGGCCCAAGAGGTGCCCAAGACGGGCCAGACGGCTCCAAGAACCCGAGAGGCAACCAAGACGGCCCAAGAGGGCCCCCAGAGCTCCCAGAGCGCTTCAAAACGGCCCGACCACGGCTTTTGAGGCGCCAGTGGCAGCCTTAGAGACGGCCCAAGGGCCCCAAGCGGCCCCAAGACGCTTCAAAACAGCCCCAGCACGGCTCCCGAGGCGCACTTGGTGGCCCCAAGAGGCACCCGAGACAGCCCAAGAGGGCCCCAGGAGGCTGCTTCCAGGTTCCAGGCCCCTAAACGAGCCCCAGATGCCCCAAGAGAAGGGCCCAAGGAGCACCGAGGACAGCACCAACAGCAGCAAGAGACGGCCTGAGACGGCCCGTAGACGGTTCCAAAACGGCTCCAAGCGCACCATGGGCCGGTCGATTCTGGGCCGGCGGGCAGGTGGCCCAGAATCGGCTAGGGCCGCCCCAGAGGCGCCCGCGCCGTCCCAGGTCGCGCTGGGCGGATTCCAGGGCTGGCGGCGCGGCGGCCCCGAATCGGTTCGCCGATTCTGGACCAGAAGGCTGGTGGCCCAGAATCGCCCCAGCCGACCCTTGAAGCGCGCGCGGCCGCCCAGGGCGGGATTCTGGGCCGGCGGCGCGGTGACCCAGAATCGGTCCCGCCGATTCTGGGCTGGCGGGGCCCAGAAACAAGTAGGCCCCGCCCGGGCGCGAGAATGGGCCTGGGGCGCACTGGGCGGGTGGCGAGGCGGCCCAGAATTGGTCCCGCCGATTCCGGGCTGGCGGGCCTGCGGCCCAGAAACGTCCTGGCCGACCCCGGAAGCGCGCGGCGGCGGCCCTGGGGCGCGCCAGGCGGGATCCTGGGCCGGCGGCGTGGCGGCCCAGCGTCGGCCCCGCCGAGATTCAGGCGGGCGGGTCGGGGGCCCCAAAATCGGCTGGGTGGCTCCAGGGGCGCGCGTGGCCCTGGGAGCCAGGGGCAGGACTCTGGGACGGCGGGCCGGGGGGCGCCCAGAATCGGCACCGCCGACTCTGGGTCGGCCTGCCAGTGGCCCTGAATCGGGCCAGCCTAGCCTTGCAGCCCGTGGTCGCCGCCGCCGCCGCCGTCGCCGTTGTCGCCGCCGTCGTCGTCGTCGTCGTCGCCGCCGCCGCCGCCGCCGCCGTCGTCGGTGTCGTTGGGAGTTCGGTGGGGGCTCCCAGACGGGCGAGCAGCGCTACCTGGCGCCCCTGCAGCTCAGCAGTATGTGGCAGGCAAACATGACGCCATTCATCCTGCGCGCCTTGCGGCAGCACCCCTTCACCCCGCAAGTGGACGTAGTCCACGGGTCAGCCCTGGTCTCTACTACATTGCAGGGCCC